ATGACTGGGCAAATCCCCCCCCCCCCCATCCCTTCCCTGGAAGACAATGAATCCACCTCATATATACAACAGGATAGAGCTCGGCAGCATCTATCAATCAAGTTAACACCTTATAATTCCTAGGTTATACATTGTCATGTTCACCCCGCATGTAGGATGAATACTCTCATCTTGAATATGTAGAAGATTCTATATTTTCCTGGGTCGGGGTAAGAGGGCGGTAGCCCCCCATGAGATTCCGTACGGGGCACAGGCCCCAGCATTCATCAGTATATTGTGGTATTATCTTCATTATGCTATTATATTATTCTTAGTTTACCATGCAATTTTCCTGGTACCTTTCTTGCCCTGCCTTTTATCTGGGCCAAGAATGTGGGGGTTTGGGTGGCTTCCACAGCATAATTCCTACATATATGTGTACTAAAGGGTGAGAGGAATCCAACAATACCAAAATTGTGGAGATCAGTAAAGCAAACCTTTTCACTTCAGTTAATATGGCAAGATAGAGCTCTAACTTGAGAATATCAAGTGGACTTGCGTTGAGTGACGCTTTCTGTGATCAGTATTTGTTACTGAGAGCAATGCACCCCTCAGAGATGAAGTCCCAAATCCATGATAACATGCGAACCCAAAACACAAACTTAACCTTTCCTACCTTCCTACCCCCCCCCCCCTCTGTGTCCCCCTTTATTAACACCATGCAAAAGGGAAATCCAGTAATAGGATGGGAGTTTGAGAGCAAAGCTTCAAATTCAGGAAGGTTTTTGGTTTATACAGTGAAGTTTGCAGATCCCCATGAGTTGTTGAAATAACAGGGACTTCAGACTGAGAGGAATGGCAGTCACTTTATAAAAATATTTTCTATATATCATATGTGATCGAAAACATCAATAGATTCACTCATTGTACTGTGAGTAATTGAAACAAGAATTAATAGTTGTAAGTTGGGTGGCTGTTTGAAATTACCATTTGGTCTAGCTTAGTATATCCATATCTGATTCTAATATTAACCAATACTATAGACATGTAAAACTGATAGCTGGTGTACTGTATTGAAATGAGGTTCATCACACTGGCAGGAATTATTCATTCATTAGATTGAACTGGTTCCTTATTTGAAAATAAAATGCTGGGCATGTGAAAAAATATATCTTGCCAGAATGTACATGGTTTGTTTACCTTTGCTAGAATATAAAGTATAGAATCAATTGCATTTGACAAATTTTTATTAGATAAAAGAAAGATATGCAGCTAAATTGTTACAACCCCTTCTCCAACCCCTTCTTCTGTCCACTTCCTCAGATACGAGAGCCATATTGAAAGGAAAAAAGGCTGGCTTTGTGTCAGTCCAGAATGGCCTCAGGGAGCCATAGTTATCAAGCCCTTACACCTCATTTCCCTTCCCCACATACTCCAGGCTTACCATAGCTAATAATTTGTATCTTTTTTAGGGGCATTGAAGCTTGCCCCCTATATCAACTAACCCCACAGATATGACTTGTCCCAAATCCCAGCCCTTGATTCTCCTTTGATCATGACTGAACGCTGCTGCTACTAACCCCTTCTCGACATGTGCTGTCAGCTCCATCCATTCCAAATCGCCAGCCATTCTGATTGTGCACACCTTTTCACAGTTGCATGTGCCTCCCAAGCTCATGCATTATATCTTCATTTCTTAGACTTCCCAAACCAGCTCCATTTCAGACACTCTTGAGGGCAAATATAATTGCGACCAAAATAAGATGCCTATACCCCATTCATCCTCCAAACTCTCAAATCCCATTCCTTCTACACTTGAAGCAACTGCCAACATTCATCCAATTCCTAATTTTCCCCCTAAACCTTTTCACTCCATCCCAACGCCCCATACCCCCTTGCTTCTTCTGTATCAACCCCCCCCCCCTTCTTTCCTTCTCTGTTATCTTCTTTCTACCCTTCCCTGAATTGTCTCCCCCCTGACATTTCTCCTAAAACTGCTCTTTGATTAAATTTCTTTAACCCCCCCCCCCCCTTTTCCCTTTTGCTAATCCCTACCTTAACCCATTTATTTGCCAGTGTGCAGTACACCCTTGAATTAATTGGCACAGCTACCAGGCATTTTGGCACTTAAACAGTGGCCAACAATCTTTGCCACTCTATTCTGGTAAAATGTGAAACTGTGTAATGGTATGGCATTCATTTGAATTATACTGGTAGATATTACTAATGCCCTCGTGCATCCATTACTGGCCTTGTGTTACTTGTAGTCCATCATGCCTTTCAGCCTGTCCTACATTCCTAACAAACCTGTACGCTTACTTGGCAGATTTTAAATAAGAAACCAGTCAAAGAGGCCTTTAATCATAGATTGCAGCATATTCCAAGTGGATTTGAAAGGAACAGTGATTATGATTTAAGGGGAAAAAAAATGTTTTTTGGATGTGTTGGCAGTATTTCTGATTTACCATAATTTAGTTGGGTATGAAATTTGATTGAGTAAATGAAATCATAAGAGGTTAAT